TCCCTTTTTTTGGTAAGGGAGAAAGGATATGTTATGTATGATAGAGTTTTTCTTCTGAAATATATAATTTGAAAAACACTACTTACTGATTTTATTTCCTCCTTTTTATTTGCTCTTTTAGGAATTAGAAATTAAGAAAATGGCCAAAATTGGTAATAAAGAGGCTTGTAGGGTTTTAGCCAAACAGCTTGTACATCTACGGAAACAGAAAACAAGAACTTTTGCAGTAAGCTCAAAAGTCACGTCTATGTCCACACAAACAAAGGTGATGAATTCCCAGATGAAGATGGCCGGAGCAATGTCTACCACGGCAAAAGTGAGTGGGAGCCTCTGCATCCATAGATTTATGGTTCCATCTAAAATACTTAAATATTGATATTCAAACCAGATTTAAAGTACCTCCTTAGCCAGAATCTATGATATTTTTAATAAAATTAGTTATAATTCTAGATAATCCAGCAAATTACTTTTATATTCTTTGTTATAGATTGTAATATAAAACTTTCTGTTTTAGGATATTTCCATTTTTCCAAGATAACATGTAGTTTCTAAATTTATAAAATGAACTGAAACAAGTTTGCCTCTTCTCTTTTAAATTGTCTTAAGAGTTTTGAATTTCTTATTTTATTAATCTGTTAATTCTGACTACTTGAGTAATAATATCCCCTTTATTCATTTTTATGACTGTGTCAGGACACATGAATACTGTCAGAAGTATTTATTACTGTTTTTCAGGAATTTATGTTTAACTTACTGTTTATACGTATAATATAATCTATGCGTGTATTGTTTCAGTGTTTTTACTGTAGCATATAAAAAGACACTGAGCCTTTCAGTCATTTATTAAATAAGGAGCTCCTTGATATATATTAAATACTATGAGTAATCAAAAGAGATGTAAGACAAAGGCCTTGCTTGTATAGATTATATAATTCAGTTGAGGGGAGCTTAAGATATTTCTTCATAGAAAACCACTCACTCACTGTATATCATTCTGTGCTGAGTTCCTTTGAACTGAACAGACACTTTAATACAGTGATTTAAAAACTGCAGAAGCCATAGGCCTTAAAAATATCAGCAGATGGGGACCAGCAGATGGTATAATGGTTATGCCGCTGGACTCCCATGTAGTCATCTGCAACTCAAGTCCTGGACCACTGCGGTAGGAGTCTCCCACCTTGCGGTTTAAACTCACTGCAGGTGCATGTGCGTGCATGCTCAAAATCCTGAGAGGAGAATGGTGGAGTAGGGGGTGTAGTGTGGCCATCTCCCCTGAAGGATGAGTTCTCACTTTCTTTCTCTTTGACTAGCATATGCACCCTGGAGCAAAGAGTTTCTGTTTAAAAAAAATATTCACAGGCACTAGAAGTAGGGGAAGTGGAATATGAACATGAATAACAAAAGGAAAAAGTCGGGACCAGCATTTGGTGTAATTGCTGTGTCGTTGGACTCCCATGTAGTCGACCGCGGTTCGAGTCCTGGACCCAGTGGCTTAAACTCACACTGGGCGTGTGTGCGTGTGTGCCCAAGCTCCTGAGAGGAGAATGGAGGAGAAAGGATTGTGTGTGGCCATCCCCCCAGAGGGTGATTTCTCACTTTCTATTTCTCTGTCTCTCTCTTTCTGGAGAGCCCATACATCCTATAGCAAAAACCTCTCCAGAAAAAAGGGGAAACGTCATAGAAAAATATTACAAAGCTTATTTTAGAAAATAGTGTATATATAGTCAATTCTTTATGTTCATAGTCATTATAATCTATGAAGTCAGAAACACTGAAATAGTAAATATTGAACTGTTGTTCTTAGGCGGAAATAGAGGGCTAGGTTCCTATGGGCCTTTGGTCATAACATTTTTATTTCCTTATCTATACCTCCCTAACTCTGTTAAATGTCTGTTTCTGCTTCAAGACACCATTTTTGATTTCTTGACCTCACAGCCAACAGCACTATACCTCATTTCTGAGTGAAGCTTATCTAACACGTATTTTCTCCATAAAGTTCATCACGCCCTTCTTTAACTTAGGAACACAGGACAGCATGTTAGTATTATGCTTTTAGACTACTTTTAAGCATTGAAATTATTAGTAAAAAGCACAAAAATGAGAAAAATGTACCACCAAATAGACTATGAAAAAGACACTCCTTTACGTGTGAAAACTGAGACAGGAAGGTGGAATATTGCCTTGTTTGACCTTAATTAGAAACATGCTTGAGGCATGATGCAAATTCTTTGTTGCTTTGTACATGTTCACAAATGAACATTACAGCATTGCAAGTATTGTTTTGAGTTACAAATGTTAATGAATAGGCAGATTTACAAATATGGAATCCACAATTCAAGTGAGGATTGATTATAACTGCTTTTTAGACTACAGAGCACATGAAAGTAAAATGCATACTTCTTATGAGGTACCAAAAATACAGTGACACATTAAGTTCTTTTAAATAATAGAGACAAAGTTTTTTTTAATTAATTATTTAATTTTATTCATCATCATTTTTTTATATTTGACCAGAGAGAGATGGAAAATGGGAAAGCAAGTCACCAGGTCTGGGTCTCAAAACCTGGTTAGCCATCTGAGAGTCCAGTATCTTTACCATCATGCCACCTGCTGACCCCAGAATAATAGAAAGTTTTAGTTGGAACTTTGTTTCTCAGTTAATCTACTCTACTCTTGAAGGGACATAGTCATTTAAAATGAATGGTACAATACAGCAGGTTATTAGACTAGGCATGCTAATACATACTCTCATCCTTTTTAATTTAGACATTAAAAATTTTAATGAAATTTTTATTAAAAATTAAACTGAAATGCTTTTAGGTTCCACATGGTAACACACTAGACACTGTGGCTAGGCAAGCTAAGGCCACACAGGAGACCATGCTCAGTTCTTGGCCCATCCTAAAGGGCCCATGTGGCAACAGGTGCTTGCAGTTTGAGTTATTTGGGAGGCTGAGGCCATGGGCCTCAGAGAGAGCCTGTCTTGAGGAGTCCGGTGTGGTGGGCCTCTGGGCTCAGCCACGAAGCAGCCTGAGGCAAGAGGATTACCATATAGCAAGACCCTGTCTAAAACATAACACATTCACACATGGAAAAACATCCCTTTTAATTTAGGAATTATCTCCTTGCCATGTAACAGGTAAATTTAGTTTTCCATTTGAATGGCAGTAGATTTTATGTTTATTTTTTTATTACATAATTTTTGTCTACTGTTCAGATGTGGTTATTCACACTAATTTTCAGATGACTTTTGTTTTTTTCTAGAATACTTAAACCTCTGTGTTTGATAATAGCAGGGTGAATGTTTTTAAAGGCTGTCTGTATTTGGTGTGTTCCCTTTTGACTTAATCTATAATAAGATTTCAATAATTAATGAAATTGTATAACTAAAATAAAATCTTTCATGTATTTGAAGACAATGCAGGCAGTTAACAAGAAGATGGATCCACAAAAGACACTACAAACAATGCAGAATTTCCAGAAGGAAAATATGAAAATGGAAATGACTGAAGAAATGAGTAAGTTTAACTTTTATAATGAAATTATTATTATTATTATTATTATTATTATTATTATTCTTTTGCTATAGGGTGTGTGCACTTGCCAGAAAGACAAAGAGAGACAGAAAGCAAGAAATCACCTCCAAGTGGGGATGACCGCACCACAATCTCTTCTCCTCCATTCTCCTCTCGGGATCTTGGGCACACACACACACACACACACACACACACATGCTTCCAGCGTGAGTTTAAGCCACTGGGTGTGGGACTCGAACCATGGTTCACTACATGGGAGTCCAGTGACATAGCCATTACACCAACTGCTGGTCCCGAAATTTGGTTTTCTTATCTGTAAATTAGCTGACTTTATTTAGTAGCAGTCTCTAGTTTTCTTCCATGTAGGCACAAATGATTAAACAGGTCCAGCCACAGGGGCACAAGTAGGTGGATGCCACAGTGTGATGGCTCGAGCCCTGTGGAAGGCCTGGATTTCATACCCAGCCCAACCTAAACAGTCCAGGCACAGTGCCTCACATGTATAATCTTAGCTAAGAGGAAGGGTGGAGCAGGAAGATCATGACATGGTGAAACCTTGTCAAAAATACTGCTCCCCCACCCCCATCACATACTTTCTCTCTTTGTCTTTCTTACTAAAAAAATAGTAAGTTGAAACAAATGGCAAAGTAGCCTATGGGTAGACATTTATATTGTAATTTAAGTGTGTGTGTGTGTGTGTGTGTGTGTGTGTGTATGTGTGTTTCTTTCTTTCTTCCTTTCTTTTTTTGATCTACCGAAAACACATGTGCTTCCTGGAGAGGGACAGAGAGATAAAGGCAAAATGAGAAAGCACGTCCCATGTGGCATGGTCATGCTACAAATCCTTCTCCTTCGTTTTTCCCTCCTTTCAGGATTTTGGAAACACACGTATACACAGGCATCTGGCATGTTTCTTAAGCTGCCATGTCATGAACTGGAACCACATGGTCAGCTATGTGGGATCCAGTTGCCTTAACCACCAGTGGGGCTGGCCCACTTACATGCATTTTTTAATTGGCAATGTAAAAGCTCAAATTTAGATTGATATGTTATGCTATATTTCTATTGTACATTAACTCATCAATTTAACTGTATTGTTTTGTATATTTTAAAAAACAGTGAATAAAACTTCCTGTTATAAATTCAGTTATGTTGACTCTTTCATACTATAGATCTGTTAGTATTGGTAGTGTAAATAATGATGCTCTTTATTTTTTCTTTTTCTTTTTTTTTCCTTATAAAAGCCATTTAATATTTATTTATTTCCTTTTTAAACATAAACTTATTATATATTAAAGATGGAAAGATGGATAAAATAAGAACAGAGCATGTAAAAATCACCTCCTTCATATCACTCAGATATAGTTACTCTTACTACAGTTTTTTCCTGTATTTTCTCATATTTCATAAAAGTGATGATGTTATATATGCAACTATGAATCTTACACTAAATTATGAATTTTATGCCTTTATTTTATTTTATTTTTATTTATTCCATGGACAACAAAGAGAGAAATCATCCCCAGCAGGTTTTCAGCACTGGGATATACCCGCAGCCTTCAGCCAGCCCTGATCATGGGCAGGTGTGTGCCTGGTGTACTGAGAGAGGGCTCCAGGCTTGAACCAGGACTCTTCCTATGTGGGATTACTTCATGGAGTGTTGTATTTTACCACTGCACCACAATTGGCCCTGAATCTTAGGCTTTTTTAAAATGTAAGAGTAAAACATTAGCACATACTCATGACCTTAATCTTCTCCAAAGTCTTTCTTATTTATGGAGTGAGAGAGAAACAAACATTCTCAATACGACTTCCTCCCCAAATTTCCCAGCCAGCCAGGATCATGGGGGCATGTGCATGGCCATGTGTTGGCCAACCGGGGAACTGAACCTGCCAGCTACCGCACAGATCCAGCTTCTATTGAGCAGTGCATTTCCACTGCACCTCTGAACTGGCTCTTAACTCTTTTCCCCCCCTTTTTGTCAATTTTTAAAAATTTATATTTAATCACTGAATATCTTTATAGCATACAACATGGGTTTTCCCCGCATGAATACAGTGCTTATTAGTCAGAGACATTACCGTGTACATTATCATCAGATAACTTTTCATCTTTGTGTCTATTCAATGTTTTTTTGTTTTTTTTGGGAACCAGCAGTTAGAGTAATGGCTATGTCTCTGGCCTCCCACGTAGTCGACCGCAGTTTGCGTCCCGGACCCGGTGGCTTAAAACTCACACTGGGCACCTGTGCGTGTGTGCCCAAGATCCCGAGAGGAGAATGGAGGAGATGGGATTGTGGCATGACCATCCCCCCTGGGGGGTGATTTTTCGCTTTCTGTCTCTATGTCTCTGTCTGTCTGTCTGGCGAGCGCACACGCCCTATAGCGAAAACCTCTCCAAAAAAAAATGTTTTTTGTTTTTTTTAAAAAAACAGCTTTTATAGTGCATAACATGCCCTAATTAATCAAACCATTCTTACATTGGTCAGTAAGATTATTTTTAACATTTCTAGTGTACTTGATAACCCTTTGGAAACTGTTGTTATATTATCTATGTCTGAATTTTTAAAATTTCTTTATAGAGTGCTAACTTTTAGAAGGTTTTTGGTTCATATAACCAATTTCTTCCTAGAATGATTGTACCAAGTTTTGTTTCACCAGTAATGACTGTGTCATCCCTCTCAGCGCCAGCATTGAGCCATTGTTTATATTGTATATCAAGGACTAGTATTGTTTCAAAAAGACACTTTCTAAAATACAACTACTTAGGAAGATGCCAGCTTACCTCCGTTCATTTTAATTTAACAGCTCTTCATAGCACTTAGTATGTAAAATACTATCTAATTATATTACCAGGACTACTCACCTAATCATCATTCTAATATTCCTTGAGTACATATTTTTCTTCGAGTGTATAATGATACTGTATAGTGTCTTTGATAGTTCCAAGAGCTATTTACTTTTTAGTTCAAGTCTTAGAAAAATAGGACTTTTATTCAAGGGTCTTTAAACACCGTTAGTGAATTTTTAATGATGGTGACAGTCGTCATCCCTGCTAGCACAGTATCTAACATGTGTATGTGCTTTCCAGTGATGGCCTGGGTGTGAGTAGGTCTTACCAAAAAAATTAACTTCCATTAAGCTATAATGAAAGAATCGGCAATTCCTTATGTTTACTCTCACAGTGGTTCTCAGTTGTATTTTAGTACTTTGCAAGACAGTCTGAAATAAGTTATTGATGATTAGTCATTTTTTTTCAGTCATCTCATCTAGTATACTGACAATATTTCATCCCAAGATAAATCCAAAATGTAAATGGACATGTCTTTTTCCAATTAGAATTGATATTGTGCTCTAAAACTTGTTCACATTCATAGTTTTAAAACAAACATCATTGGGAAATCTTTATTCTACCTATTATTAGGTGTTTTATAGTTTTTCTGAATGCATTTTAGTTTGTTAATCTCTGATTATACCTCTCTGGTCTTTTTCATTTGTCATCTTTCAGTTTTTCTGGAACAGCTTCTTTATTCCAACCATAACATACTCTGACCTGGGAACCTCATTTCCTTTATTACTTCATTACTATCTGAGTAACACATACTAAATTATTTTTCCAGAAACTCTGAGCATGCTATCTAGATTCCTTCAGTGGTTTCCTGTTGACTACAAAGTAAAAATCCCAAATCATAAATCAAAACAAGTTTCCAGTTAAGCTCCTTTATCTTGCTATTGAGAATACTGAGCCCTGGGGAGTAAAGAGACTTTCTCCCACTGTTGCATGAGTACTATATGGAAGGACTAAGATTCTAATTTAAGTTCTAACATTCTTTTCTTCAGGGATGCTATCCCATTTCTTTTTGTTCTTAATTACCTTACCTTTTTCCAGATTTTTTAATGTGAAGCTAGCACCAAAAAAACAAACAAACAAACAGGAAAACAGACCATCAAGTTAGATTCCTACAAATCAGAGATCTTAACCAATGTCAAGGATATAAGCCATTGAAATGGACAGGCCAAGCAGAGAGGTTAGGGCCTCCCAAACAATTCACCAGATCCCTCCACCCCCACATCAGATACAAGCTCTGATGCAGAATATACAACATGTGCTTGATCCAGTTTGCCTATCATTTCATGTTGAGCATTTAGGTTATGAACTCTCTCTCATTTATACTCCAGTCACCTACCTTATGTGACATTTTCTAGTTCACAAATCTATAGAGCATAGGTTTGTTACTATAACAATTTTAAACCAGGACATTCTACTAAGAGCATTCCATACCTTCTGTTAGCAAATGTGTTTGTTTACCTTTAGCCTAATTATCAACAGGGCTACAGGAGTTCATACAAAGTTACCTGTCTTCTGTGAGATCCCCCTGTGATCAGGAGGAGAACAGTTTAAGACCAGTTTCTTTCTTTTTTTTTTTGTCTCCCAGACATTTACATTCATACACCTTAAATAACAACCAAACAGAAGAACTTACTTGTTTTTGTGTGTCCCCATTTTCTGTCCATGACTGTGCTCATGCTGTTCTCTCTCTGTGTATGCTATATCCTGTGTATCCTTTCTGGAATACCGCGTATGCTACTTTCTTCTAGTTGGCTATAATCTCTTTCTAATAAACTTTATAATCATTTTTTTTATTTACCATAATTTATTTATTTTCTTCTCTACTTCAGTGTAAACTATCTGAAGTTTTCATTCTTCTTTATCTATCTATCCATTGTATTTGTACTGCATGCCAGACACCTAAGTATCCACTTTCAAAGATAAGTAAAACATAATCACAAGCCTTCACAATTTCCTTTTCATAACTTAAGACTTCTATACAGAATGTTTTCTCATGTATTTTGGGGAAGGAAGGGAGGTAGGATGAGTTATAACAGTAATAGTCTTTCAAAGTTAAATTAGACATCATTCTTTGGATAAGTGTAATATATTAATAAAATATTAAACCCTAGATGTAATTAGAATACTCAACCTATATCTTAAATGTATATTTAAAAAGTATGGAATATGGTAATAACTGCTAATAAAGAGTAAATTGTGTCCCTAATATTAATGGGATGTTTTTTAATTGCCAGAGGGCACATGTGCTTGCCAGCAAGAGATGTGGGGGGTGCCCCTCCATGGGATGTGGTCACACCACAATCCCTTCACCTTCATTTCTCCATCCTCGGGCACATGTGCTTGCCAGCAAGAGATGTGGGGGGTGCCCCTCCATGGGATGTGGTCACACCACAATCCCTTCACCTTCATTTCCCCATCCTCTTTTGGACACCTGGGTTCAGATTTGAACCTTGGCTGAATATGTAGAATTCACGCTCCCTTAATCACTAGACTATGGGGCTGGCCCTTAAAAGTGTGTTAATATTTGATTCTTGAATATTCTTCTTTGGTTAACTTTAATTATTGTGGCTTCATAGGTATAACTTATGGAATTGTATTTAGAAACCCTAAGTCTGTGGTGGTGAATATCACATAGTTTGTCTTCTATTAGGGTATAATTTTTTAAACCATCAGAGTAGACTTGCTCTATCATAGGGTAATTTGTGTTAAAATAACCATTATTCCATATTTAGTGACTCAGAAATGCATTTATCAATGTACTTCCTGACATTTGAAAGTAATTTTTGTAGTTCGCTAGCTTAACTAACTTTGCCTTCTGTAATATACAAAATACATTTACATATATTTGAGTTATTTTCTAAAAACATAATCTAACCTGAAACCAGTTTGAAAATAACTGCCATGTTCTCCTTCTACCCTTCTTAGTCAATGACACACTTGATGACATCTTTGACGGATCTGATGATGAAGAAGAAAGCCAGGATATTGTGAATCAAGTTCTTGATGAAATTGGAATAGAAATTTCTGGAAAGGTATGAGCATCTTGACTGTTGAAAATAGTGTCCACCATTTTTTGTCACTTAATTGTTTTAAGTTGTCCTTTACTGTTAGGTACATGTTTTTATATTTATCTCAAAGGTAAATTAAACTTCTTTGCAGCATATCCTTTATAATCTATCCCAAATGTTTGTTAATATACATTTTTCTTCTTCTTTCTCTTTCTTCAATATAGATGGCCAAAGCTCCATCAGCTGCTCGAAGCTTACCATCTGCTTCTACTTCAAAAGCTACCATCTCCGATGAAGAGATTGAGCGACAACTAAAAGCTTTAGGAGTAGATTAAGTCAACAAAGGCATATTATTTTTGCTTACTTATAATAATTATTTATAATTATGAGCCAGGCACAGTGCAAATTCCTTTTACAAAACACATTTATTATTATTTGGCAAAATGAAGACCATGAGTGAACAGGTGTTTCCCAACCCCCTGGTTATTTTGGATCTTTTGCCAAAGAATGACAATGATGTGGAAATGGGAACAGTTTGGATTTTAATTAGAACTATTTAGGAGCGATGATGTGTAAAAGGTTAACTTTTCTGCATAACACAGAGAACTTATATTCATTACTTAATGCCAATTTATGTTCTAAATCTTTTTACATTGAATACAAAAATCTTGTTTAATGCCAGTAGGCACCCATTTAAAGAGACTTGTAAAAACATTAAAAGTATATCATTAATTCTGTATCTGTTGCTTGTCCTTTGTAGGCAGTTATGTGTTATGACCATAGGTGAATCTGCTGTCAAGTTATTTTTAAGTGATCTAAAAGGAGAGTGCTACTTCAACATTCGTCTTAAACAAAAACTGTCATCAACGTTTTCTTTTCATTTTTTCCTTGGGGAGAATATTCTATTCCTTAGTACCTTTCGAACTCTGCTTGTCTTAAATAGCACAGACATATTGTGCACATCTTTAAATTATTTTAATGGACAAAAAAGAATTACATTTTAAAATAATTGAGGCCTATTACAAAAGTCATGCAGGCTCTTTTTTGTAATGCTTAGAAAAGTGAATTGAGTATAATTAGTTAAAAAAGGCACTGCATAACATTTTATAGTAATAAAACACTATATTTTAGTCTTCTAAGGAATGAGAAAATTTTCTTTATATGTATTATAATTTAATGCCTATTCGACCTTGAACTTTACTAGTGTGTATATGGAACCCCCTAAAGTGAAAGAAACCATTGTTCTCAGTTAACTATTATTACTATAACAATATTTGATCTAAATTTTTAAAATGAAAATTAACTTTTTTTTGGTAAATAAACAACAGTTTTCTCAGAAGTTACTGCCTAAATGTGTATTAATGTACTAGCAGTATTTTTAAATGTATGTTATAGAGAGTGAGAGAAAATGAGATGGTGACAGATTAGTTAGAAATAGAACTTAGAATTAGATTAGCTTTGAAAAATGGTGTTGTAATATATGCATTGTAACGCATCCCATCATAAAAGCTCTGGAGCAGGCCAGATATGTACCACTGGGTAACTTGGTGGGCATTGTGGACTTATGTTTACAAAAATAAAATACATGTTACTAGTATACATGTGTCATACAGATTGGTGGGAGAAAGGAAAAGTTAAACTATATAATTCATAAACCATTTCATAATGTTCGAAGATTGGGTGTTAGTATTGAATTTATGAAACATAAAGTTTCTCTGAACATGATGGATCAAAACATTTTACTGGATTATGGAATGTTTACCCAGAACATGTTTTGATTCTTGGATGTACATAGTAATGCCATCTAATTTTATTTACTTTCTATTTGTGTGTGGGGACTTTTGATTTTAAAAATTATTTTGTTACGGGAAAAATCCCAATAAAGATTTGATATTGTCATTCTTTTTATTTCCCATTATCTGTTTTATTGTTTCAACCTCTGCTAAAATTGAATTTTTTTAGCATGTATTTATTGGTTTTCCAAAAGAATTATTTTTATTAGTTTCCTGGAAGGGAAGGTGATTCTGCTACTTATATTTTAGCAACAACAACAAAACCCCTCTTTTTAAGAATTATCAGTTTAGGGGCCAGCAGGTGGCATGGAGGTTAATGTGCTAGACCCCACATGGTCAGTTCTGCAACTCGAGTCTTGGACCTGGAGGCTTGAAAATCACACCGGATGCATATGTGTGCATGCCAAAATCCCAATAGAAGAATGGAGGAGAAGGGATTATGGTGTGGCCATTTCCTCTGGAGGGTGATTTCTCACTTTCACTCTCTCTGTCTCTCTCCAGAGAGCACATGCATCCTATGGCCAAAGGGAAAAAAAATTAGTGGTTGGTATAAGACTGATGTTTGTGAATAGAGTAAGCCTAAAAATCTGTGGTTTCACATTAGATTCATCTGATAATTCCTTTCCTAGAATTTCTAGGGACTAAATATTTTCAAGTTTTATTTTTAAACATAGAAGTCTTAGAGATTTCTTTCATTTCAGTCAAACATGGATACCACAAAAGAGCGTTGGACCTGAAAGAAACAGTAGAGCCATTCTGATTTGGCTGTACATTCACAATCAATATAAATTTGTAGTTCTTCTCTTCTTTGCTAAAAATGAAACAGTTCCATTTGACCTCTTAAAGAACAAGAATTCTTATAAATTGATTTTAATGGAAATTTCCTTTTGTTGTTGTTGTTAAGAGAGATTTTTGCTATAAGGCCTGTGCGCTCACCAGAGAGACAGAGAGATACAGACAGATAGTGAGAAAGCACCCCACAGGGGAGGATGGCCATGCTGCAATGCCTTCTCCATTCTCCTCTAGGATTTTGGGCACACACACATGCATGCCTCGCGTGAGTTTCAAGCCTCCATGTCCAGGACTTAAAAAGCGGTAGTCATGTGGGAGTCCAGTGACATAACCACTACACCATCTGTTGGTCTCAGAAAGTTTGATTTTTTTTAAATCTGTTTTCCCTAACTTCCTTTTTTGGCAAAAGGCTTTTTTTAATCTTTATTTAAACAAGAGTTTGCTAATAGAACAAAAAATGGTTTCAGTCAGCCTTTCATTTGTTTACCAAATGAAGTCAAGGCTAGAAGAGATTTCAGAGTACTAGAGAGGTAGAATGTGGTACGAAAATGTTAGTAACTACCCCGACACCTGGCTTTAGTAAACAGAAAATGCCCATGTATACTGTGTTCTGAGGGGAGTGCCTGGTTAAGGCAGGGATTAGTGAAAAGAATTGCACCTTACAGACCAGAGGGAGGAAGCTAGCAGTTAAGGGTTTCATGTTACTTAACCTGCTCAGAGATGCATGTTTTATTTTCATTTGAATGCTTTTAGAGGAAACCTGGCACTCCTTTTGGCCAAGTTTACAGTCCCTGCAAGCCCAGTTGCCACCCTTCTGCTCCAATCCCTATAGCTGAATTTGTGTATATATTCCTAATTTAGACACTCTTATGTTAAAACAGGGTTTGTCCAGGTCTGAAAGACAGGAATGATGACTTTCTCCATGATGACATTACTCTACATCGAAAGATTGCTGCAGCTTCAAAAAAAGATCAACTTCCCAATTTCCTCTATGTGGAAGCTGAGTCCCATAAAGAGACTTAGAACCGTTCATCTAACCTTTGTTCCTTTACGAGTCAATTTACTTGAATTTACCTTTCCCTAAGGATTGGGTTGTGAAGTCTGATTTCTGATATCCTACTATTGAAACACCATACTTCTTCCCACCATGTCCCCAACGACTTGAAAATACATCCACACAACCCTACTATCCCCAAACACTGAGAACACTTCTTTGTTGACACACAACCTTTTTGCCATTAGAAATGGAAAGGTAAACTGTATGAATGAGTTTGTCAACTCTGTTACATAGATTTGAATGTACCAAATGGTATAAGTAAATCCCTCAGTTTTAATGGACAGTTCGACTGAATCCCTGAAGAACTACCATTGAGCTCTCAATGGCATGTAGGGAATAATTATATAGTTAAGTCAGCTTTTGATGTTTATTCCCCAAAATAAGAACATATCCATACTGCACAGTAAATTGTGATTGTCCTTTACTTAACTGCAGTTTAGGATTTTAAAAACATTCAACAGTTTCTATTGTTTTAAAGGAATATCTATTAAAATATTACCTCAATAAAGTTAGAAAAGTTTCAAAACTCACTGATGCAAATGAGTTAATATTTAAAAAATCATGGCATATTGTTTGTTTTTCTATGAAAAAATGGGTCATGACTTTTCCAATGACCAATCATAAATACCAGTGCATTTATAGCTAACTTATGAATAGCTAAGTGAATAAAAAATTAGAATTACAGTGTTAAGCATTTATTCAAAAGAAATCATTTTAGGGAAAAAAGTTGATTCCCAATGCAGGTTGTATAGAAACCTGAAAAGAATGACTTCCTGGATGCCTGGCATATAGATTATGATGTATGCATATGCATATGTATTGGGTTGTCAGGAAAGTTATGATGTGTTTGTGCATATAAAAACAGAAAAATGCATCATGACTTTTCTGACAACCCAATACATGAATAATTTCTACTACATAGAGTAAGATTAGACATTAACAACAGATGCATTAAATATTTAAAGTGTAAAACAATCACTAATCTAGATTTATATTACATTTTACGACTATTTGCAGATTTAAAAGTACATATGTGCATTTTTTGCATCTGTAGGTGTATGTGTATAAATATATTTGCATTTATATACATATATTTGTATACACAATATGTATATATTTACACCCACATTGTGTGTTTGTGTGTGTGTGTGTGTGTGTGTGTGTGTGTGTGCGTGTGTATACATCACAATTTGTCTTTTGCAAATTAAAGAATCTCTTCCCCAGTTAATGTATGTTTTACACAGGTAAAGAAATATTGAGTTATCCAGAAGAAAGAACTTAAGCATCTACATTGCTGAATAATTTGGAATTTACTCTTGAGTGAGAGTGCTGTATTTAACACCTCATGGGTGCTAACTGTGTGCTTAAGCATGGATGGCCAGGCCACTGAAGATTACCTTTCATTAATAACATATCTATCTCTGTCAGTGATGTAGTTTCTACCTCCTCTATTGGTTATTTTTTGTGCACATACATATATGGTCTGTGTGAGTTATGACCTGTGTGAAGTTTTCAATAATATAAAAATAAGATTGGACAGCATATTTTATTTAGTAAACATTTTAAATAATAAAAATTGGTCTAATTATTTCTCTCTTTGCTAGCAGATCTATGTCCAAAAAATGCAAGAGTCACTATTCTAGATTAGCATCCACTCCAGTTTGTTTCTACTTCCCAGTTTCAAAGATACACATTTTTATAAATAAAATATTCTTCAAGATACAGTCCCAAGAATTGAAAAGCTCAATATGTCAAACTTTTTATTAATAATAAATTGGGTTCTAACCAATTACACCAAAATGACAGGCTTTATTGATGACTTTCTGGATTGTAAGATTTCAAAAATAGATTACATTTAGGGACCAGCACATTGTACAATGGTTATGTTGCTGGACTCGCACATGGACAACTATGGTTCGAGTCATGGATCCAGAAGCTTGAAACCCATGCCAGGCACATGTCCGTGTGTGCCCAAAATTCCAAGAGGAGAATGGAGAAGAAGGGGTTGCTGTGGCCATCACACCAGGGAGTGATTTCTCACCGTCTGTCTCTGGCAAGTGTGTATGCTCTATAGCAAAAATCTCTTGCAAAAAAAAATTTACATTTTAAAATTAGGCAGCATCCTTCACTTTTTGTTTTTATTTATGTATTTATTTATTTTATTTACATTTAATCACTGTACATCTTTACAGTGTACAACAGTTTTCCCCAGCATGAATACAGTGCATCTAGCCTTGCATATTTCTCCACTTCGTATCAAATGTCAGGGCACCCTTTACTTCTGTAACTACTGCTAAGGGTACCTTCTTTCATTTTCATAGACCACACGCCTACTATTAGCAGACACTTCCAAGCACAGGAAAATAACAGCAAACAAGTAAGATATCTTCCCCACATGGTTATAGCTTATAAACTAAAGGTTTGGAGGTTATGAACCCATAAAGCGTATTTCTATAACTAAACATCAAAGTACTAATGTCTGGGAAGAATGAAAAGCTTATAAATTAATATTTATTCTAATCTCTCTTGAAATACATCTTTGTACTCTGTGCTAATAATAGTTTTGAAGGTGTCAATTTTGATCAAGGTTTATTCCTAAATGAAATAAAAATATTTTAAGATACCTACAACCCTTGCTATAGGGCAAGTACCACCATGCCCAAGATACCTCCAGCCCTTAAGCTCAAAACTTTTAGTTCAAACAATTAGAGCTGGTGATAAGCCCAAATTTAGTCAATGAATTTTCTAATTGGATATTTCTTGGTGATATTTAAGTATACAGTATGACTGGCTGAACTATTGAAAAACTAATAAACAAGCTCAGAAAAGGAATTTTTAGGACCAGCCAGATGGCCTGGTGGTGAAGGTGGCCGAATCCCCACGTGACCCACTGCATGCTTCTAGTCCTGGACCCAATGGCTTGAAAAATACACCAGGCACATGTGCATGTGTGCTCAAAATCTCAAGAGGAGAATGGAAGAAAAGGGATTGCAGAGTGACCACTCCCCTGGTGGATGATTTCTCATTTTCTGTCTGACTGCCAAGTGTATGTGCTCTATACTAAATTCAAGAGAAAAAAAAAGTGAGTTTTAAATTAAAAAACCTGTATAGCCACTAATATGTCTCTGTGTGAGAGTATGAGGGGATCTTCAAAATGTTCATGAAAAATACATATTATAAAAAATATATGTATAGATTTCCAATTGTTTTTGCACCAAAATAAATTCATACTTTGATTCTGTTTTTTTTTTTTTCTATTACTTTTGTTGAAGTCCCTTCTTTCTTTCTTTCTTTTTTTTTTTGGTTAGGTTTGGTTTTGTTTTGTTTTTGCCATAGGATATGTGCACATACCATCGACAGAAAGAAAGAACAGAGATTGAGAGGAAAAGTGAACTACTCCCCCATCCCAGGAGGATGGCTATTCTACAATCCCTTCTCCATTCTCCTTTTGGGACTTCCGACACACACACACACACACACACACACACACATGCACACATGCTCCCAGCATGTTTTTCTGGCCATTAGGTCTGGGACTCAAACCCATGTAATTAGCTATATGGAATTCATCACCTTAGCTACCATACCACCTGTTGGTCTGAAGCCCCGTCTTTTGTCTTTGAGAGAGAGAAGATGACAGAGAAAGAGAGACAGAGGTGTTACATTCTTGTTAGCATCTTTGTCTTAAAAGACCAGCTGGTGCCATGGTGGATAAGACAGCTGAATCCCACATGGCCAAATTCCTTCATTCGGTGGCTTAAAAAACATGTCAGACATGTGTATCACATGACCAAAATCCTAAAAATAGGGAGGGTGCAGGAGAAACAATTCCAGTGTCACCATTCCCCATGCGGGGTGATTTTTCTCTCTCTCTTTTCGTTTTTCTTGGGTAAGTGCACGTGCCTTCCAGCAAATTTTTTTTTTTCTTTTTTGGAGAGGTTTTCGCTATAGGGCGCATGCGCTTGCCAGACAGAGAGAGACAGAGACAGAAAGCGAGAAATCACGCCCCCAGGGGGGATGGTCACGCCACAATCCCTTCTCCTCCTTTTCTCTTGGGATCTTGGGCACGCATGCACACGCGCTTGGCGTGAGTTTTAAGCCACCGGGTCCGGGACACAAACCGCAGTTGACTACGTGGGAGTCCAGCGACATAGCCATTACGCTAACTGCTGGTTCCCGTTCCAGCAAATTTTTAAAAATAATAATAAATTAAGAAATGTACAATGTAGAGAGCAGCAGATGGCATAATGTTTATGTTACTGGACTCCCACATGGCTGACCGCAGTTCAATTCCCAGACCAGGTGGCTTAAAACTCACGCTGGGTGTGTGTGCATGCATGCCCTAAATCCCGAGAGGAAGTGGAGGAGAAGGGATGGTAGCATGGCCATCACCTCGGGGGCGGGGGGTTATTCCCTCGCTTTCTGTCTCTCGATCTCTCCAGCCAGTGCACACACCCTATAGCAAAAATTGCTCTCTGGAAAAAAGAAAAAAAGTACAATGTGGTTTCTGAGAATGATTTTAAAGAAAGTAATGAACCAACATTATTTAAATTGTCATATTTCTATTTTGAAGTTCATTTCATTAATTAATCTATTTAATGAGCAAGAAAGCAAGTGAGAGAGCAAGACAGCACCAACAGAGTCTTTATATTGTGACCTACCACCAACCTTCAGCCAGCCCCACATCATGGGCAGGTGTGTGCCTCTTGTACACAGGGAGGTCTCCAGACTTGAACTGGGAAACCTCCCAAGTGAGATTGCCTTGCAGAGCACTGAATTTTACCTTGCTCCACCATCTGACCCTGTTAGATTCTAAAAAAGGATTAGAAAGAAAGAAAAAGAAAAAGAGAGAGAGAAAGAAAAGAACGAACGAACCAAAGTATCTGCAAAAGTTATTAGCATAAAATGATTTTTGAAGCCACCCAAATAATAAGTTTCTGGTTTTGTTGAGGAAGAGAAAGCCATGAAAAATAGAAAAAGAAACATGACTCTTACACAATAGAAAATTTCATCTGCACTCAAGATGCTCCTTGGAAATAGAAAATAAATTCTGATTCAGACTTGTTTTCACTCTCTTCTCTCTCTGCCTTCGGTTGCAAAACCAAACTCTTACAACTTCTTTCTCAAGATTCAGTTCTTCAGCCATCCTCATGAGCTCTTGAGAGGAAGGTTTATTCTGTTCTCCGAAGTGCCTCTCCAAAGCATCTTTAGCAGCAATACTGGAGTGGGGTCGAGGGGGAGATTATGTTTTCAGTGAAATTTTTGACAAATCAAAATGAAGTTGTTTGAACATCCTAAATATTAACATGAACAGGAAACTTAAAATTAAAAAGATTTCCAAGCCTCTGAACAAGGTTAATATACACGTTAAGTATTTAGATGTTAGTTTTATGAAGTGGCGTGTTGCCAGTTACAGAAGAAATGGACAGCCAGGCTTTCTGCATTTATTCCACTTGGGCCACAAGAGGGCACCAAATTCTTAGAAAATAAGTGAACATTCTTGCAGGCATTTCTAAATATTGCCCCCTCCCCAACTATTTTGTTTATTGACAATGGATTAATGTCTAGTAAACTACCAGCTAACAAAACAAAACCTGCCTTTCAGCATTTCCTATGTGTGCTTTACGGAAACTACAAAAAAATCAAAGAATAATCCTTGTGGGTTGAAATGCAAGGTAGCACTGGACTTTAAGAAGCTGAAATATTGATTACTACTCTTGTCATTTTAAAATAACAGATACCATATTGCCAGAGCAAGAACTTAAACTGCACTGCTTTGAAATGATTGTTTAGTTTCTGCTTTTATTCATACTTCTTGGAGCAACAGTGTTCCTGAGTCAAATACCACAGACTTCTCTAACAAATGATGCGGGGTGATTTTTCTCTCTCTCTTTTCGTTTTTCTTGGGTAAGTGCACGTGCCTTCCAGCAAATTTTTTTTTTTCTTTTTTGGAGAGGTTTTCGCTATAGGGCGCATGCGCTTGCCAGACAGAGAGAGACAGAGACAGAAAGCGAGAAATCACGCCCCCAGGGGGGATGGTCACGCCACAATCCCTTCTCCTCCTTTTCTCTTGGGATCTTGGGCACGCATGCACACGCGCTTGGCGTGAGTTTTAAGCCACCGGGTCCGGGACACAAACCGCAGTTGACTACGTGGGAGTCCAGCGACATAGCCATTACGCTAACTGCTGGTTCCCGTTCCAGCAAATTTTTAAAAATAATAATAAATTAAGAAATGTACAATGTAGAGAGCAGCAGATGGCATAATGTTTATGTTACTGGACTCCCACATGGCTGACCGCAGTTCAATTCCCAGACCAGGTGGCTTAAAACTCACGCTGGGTGTGTGTGCATGCATGCCCTAAATCCCGAGAGGAAGTGGAGGAGAAGGGATGGTAGCATGGCCATCACCTCGGGGGCGGGGGGGTAATTCCTCGCTTTCTGTCTCTCGATCTCTCCAGCCAGTGCACACACCCTATAGCAAAAATTGCTCTCTGGAAAAAAGAAAAAAAGTACAATGTGGTTTCTGAGAATGATTTTAAAGAAAGTAATGAACCAACATTATTTAAATTGTCATATTTCTATTTTGAAGTTCATTTCATTAATTAATCTATTTAATGAGCAAGAAAGCAAGTGAGAGAGCAAGACAGCACCAACAGAGTCTTTATATTGTGACCTACCACCAACCTTCAGCCAGCCCCACATCATGGGCAGGTGTGTGCCTCTTGTACACAGGGAGGTCTCCAGACTTGAACTGGGAAACCTCCCAAGTGAGATTGCCTTGCAGAGCACTGAATTTTACCTTGCTCCACCATCTGACCCTGTTAGATTCTAAAAAAGGATTAGAAAGAAAGAAAAAGAAAAAGAGAGAGAGAAAGAAAAGAACGAACGAACCAAAGTATCTGCAAAAGTTATTAGCATAAAATGATTTTTGAAGCCACCCAAATAATAAGTTTCTGGTTTTGTTGAGGAAGAGAAAGCCATGAAAAATAGAAAAAGAAACATGACTCTTACACAATAGAAAATTTCATCTGCACTCAAGATGCTCCTTGGAAATAGAAAATAAATTCTGATTCAGACTTGTTTTCACTCTCTTCTCTCTCTGCCTTCGGTTGCAAAACCAAACTCTTACAACTTCTTTCTCAAGATTCAGTTCTTCAGCCATCCTCATGAGCTCTTGAGAGGAAGGTTTATTCTGTTCTCCGAAGTGCCTCTCCAAAGCATCTTTAGCAGCAATACTGGAGTGGGGTCGAGGGGGAGATTATGTTTTCAGTGAAATTTTTGACAAATCAAAATGAAGTTGTTTGAACATCCTAAATATTAACATGAACAGGAAACTTAAAATTAAAAAGATTTCCAAGCCTCTGAACAAGGTTAATATACACGTTAAGTATTTAGATGTTAGTTTTATGAAGTGGCGTGTTGCCAGTTACAGAAGAAATGGACAGCCAGGCTTTCTGCATTTATTCCACTTGGGCCACAAGAGGGCACCAAATTCTTAGAAAATAAGTGAACATTCTTGCAGGCATTTCTAAATATTGCCCCCTCCCCAACTATTTTGTTTATTGACAATGGATTAATGTCTAGTAAACTACCAGCTAACAAAACAAAACCTGCCTTTCAGCATTTCCTATGTGTGCTTTACGGAAACTACAAAAAAATCAAAGAATAATCCTTGTGGGTTGAAATGCAAGGTAGCACTGGACTTTAAGAAGCTGAAATATTGATTACTACTCTTGTCATTTTAAAATAACAGATACCATATTGCCAGAGCAAGAACTTAAACTGCACTGCTTTGAAATGATTGTTTAGTTTCTGCTTTTATTCATACTTCTTGGAGCAACAGTGTTCCTGAGTCAAATACCACAGACTTCTCTAACAAATGCTCAATTTCCACAAGCTCTCCATTTCTCAGTATTAAATTATCAAACGATTAACTAAACTGTTCTGGCCTAAAATGGCCACTGTACTCCTACACGTGGATTCTGTGGATAAGCCCCAATAGTACATGTTAGGCTGATTTTCCTGAGCTGGTTACTACCAGCCAATCACACTAGCCACATTTTAGCCCATCACAGGAAGCCCGCCTTGTAGTTCCGCAGTTTACCATCTGGCTGTAACCAATCCAGGGATCTCAAGACACCACTCCCTCACTTTCAGTTTTGTATGACACTTTCCTTTTCTGCAAACTTACATACTCCATGACCATGTGGCTAGCTGGAGTCCCTTGGAAACCATTTTTAGGGAGACCATCTGATTCAAATTATGTTAAGATTTTCTCAATCAAACCTCACTCCATTAAAGTGGCTATTTGTTTTTTCTTTTTTTTCTTTTTATACACAGTATGCTTATTTAAAACCTCTCTCTTTTTTGGTAGAGGTTTTTGTCTTAGGGTATGTGCACTCCCTGGAGAGAGAGAGAGAGACAGTGAGAGGGAAAGTGAGAAATTACCCCCAGGGAGGATAGCCACACTGCAACCCCTTCTCCATCCTCCTCCTGGGATCTTGGGCACGCAGACACACGTGCCCAGCATGAGTTTCTAGCCACCGGAGCTGGTACTCAAACTGTGATCGGCCAGGGAGTCCAGCGATGTAACCGCGACATCTGCTGGCCCCCATCTTGTTTTTTTGATAGAGTCTATCTGCCATACATGTATATGTTACGTTGCATCTATATGATGCTCAAGTGGTCATTCCAAAGTATCTTTTTCTTCCCTGGTAACTTTCAGCAGCTCAAAAGAATACCTTATAGTTGTTCTCCGTTTCCTTTTTCTTTCATTTGCTCCCACTTTTTCGTTGTACAAAGCTGTAATGTGGAAAAGAGGAATAATTAAAAAATATTTTTTTAAGCTCCTATCAGATTTGGATTTCAAATCTTTATAAAGCAATGCAAAATAAAAGTGCTACAAATTTTTATCTTAAGTTTTTGCAGTCTCGGTCATTTTCTATTACAGGCTCTAGAGAGAAAATGTGACTGTGGGAATAAGTATTAACTTTGCAAAGACCATTGTCTATAACTAACACTTTTGTTAGAACACTTTCTGTAAACTGCTGTAGATTTGACATTAGTATGAGTAGATAATTTTATCGCAGTAAATTGATCACCCTGCAATTGTCTATGTTATTTACTTAGAAAATTATTGCACAATCTTATTGCATAAACTTGTGCATATGTCATATGCAATAATCTGTTATATACTAATATTTGGTTATAAAAGTGATTCCTGTACCATCATACCAGTATAACACATAGGCGAAAAAGCTGGACGTGCTATTATATATGATATATATACACACACATATACGTGTATGTGTGTTTGTATGTATTTCACCACTTCACACCAGTGCCACATTATCTAGAAAGCTTTCTTTAACTATAATAGCATATTCTCTTTCAGTAAATTTATTTCTACAATTACATTGACTTTTTATTTTTTAGTGTGATGCAACAAGATATTCATTTTTCATTACAGAAATAAAGGGGGAAAACTCTGCCAGACTGCTTGCTTGTGCATTCATCTTACTGATCGAAGCCATTACTCGTAAGTTAAAAACATAGCACAGCCTTCAGAGCTGCCCGTTAGTACCTCCTACTTGCTCGGCTTCCTCCAGCCATTTGGATAATATGGCTTTTAGTTTGCAGGCATTTTTAAAGCTGAGCTGTAGGTTTTCAAATCGGCAGATAGTTGTTTGACTAAATTCGGAGCCATGCACAGCTGCCAGGGCTTCCCCAACATTTGTCTGGGTGTATCCTGTGAAAGGACAATAAAGAATGTCAGCTTGGGTTTGCAAGAAGAATGAATTTCGGTTCATTATCACACAAATCTGTGTGTCTTTCTTTGTCACATATTTTTTAATATATAATTTAAAAATTCTGTTTTTTAATGATATATTTTTGGCAATTTAGAATTACTTAGTTAGGTTGAGTATAGAATTGTCTAGTACTTCAAAACTAAACAATTTTTCATCTGGTTAATCAATTACTTTTTTCTAGAAGCCAAGTTGGACAAGTCTGCCAAAAAGCAAGAAATCACCCTCCAGGAGGGATGGTCATGCTGCAATCTCTTTTCCTCCATTCTCTCGGGATCTTGGGCATGTATGGACACATGCCTGCTGTGAGTTTCAAGCTGCCGGGTCCAGGACTTGAACTGTGGTCGACTATGTGGGAGTCCAATGATGTAACCATTCTGCCATCTGTTGGCCCCCAAAACCTTTTATAAGAGACTGAAAAATTCTACTCTTACCATTATTATTAAGTATCTGCACAAGTGTGTCAAAACCTTTTATAAAGTTTAAAAAATTTTTACTCTTCTCATCATTATTATCAGATAGATATGCTAAAACACTTTAATGTATTAACTATAATGTATAAAGTATATAGTAATAGCTCATAAGTATTTTTATTTCAACAATTAGAGTAAAACAATTCAACTCTTATTTTTGTAGAATATCAAGTAAAACTAAGAATAATACTTTCTCTAAAAATATATTTTGAAGCTATGATCACATATTTCATATATACGTCTGAGCACATTTATTATATTATATGGTAATGCTTCTATCTCCAGGCAAAAGATTGTTATTGAGTGTCCCAAACATTTTTAGAATCCAAGTTAAAATAAACCATCAACATATAATTTGAAGCATTCTCAGCCACATAAATGAAAAACCGAAAATGAATGTTATAAAGATGCCGACCGCTGTGCTTGTTACGTGTGTAACTACATATTATGACAGCCTGAGGCCACGCGACTATATAGAAAATGGATGCCCATCAATACATATTGTAAAATCGTCTATGGATCATTCCACAAGTGCAGAGATCTGAACTATAATTTCAATCCCTTTTTTATAAAAACACCTCATGAATTTTAACCAATATTAATCATTATAGCTATTTTAGGTTAAAAACACATTTCACTGTAAAACGAGCAAAGGCTGTCAATAGGCACTTTACAGAATGCAAATACAAATGACTGTCAAACACATAATAGAATAATCTTCACTCATAATAAGAGTAATTTAAAATGAACTACAAGGGAGCGCCTCTTTGACCTAGGTAACTTCAAAAGATCCAAAAGTTTAACAGTGTAGTTTCTCCTTCAAATCACTATTTATTTATTTTATGTTGCAGTCATTGTACTAAGTGCTAGGGTCATATCACTATGGAGAAAACAGAACAAAGCTTCGTATTCTGAAGATGTTAAAAGAGACACTCTTGGTGGTAAAATTTGGTACAATTTCTACAATTGAACTACATCTATATAAAACTTAACAAATATACATATTTGATGCAGCAATTGTCTCTAACATGTTTTCTGCAAACATATAAGTGCAGAATGGCATATATAAGGTTAATTGTGTCATCATTTCAAACAGCAAGCTATTAGAAACCACCTAAATACCATCAGTAGAGGACTAGTTACATAAATTGCAGTATATTTATAAAATGGAATTTGGCAGATCCATAAAAGAAAAGGGACTCGAACTGAACTGAAAACTCTTCAAAAGACCTTTTTAAGTGTATGTATTTGTGTATATGCAGAAGCTATCTCTCCAAAGGTACACAAGAAACCCCACAACACTGATAAGCAGGCAAGGCAAGGCGAAAGGAAATGCATCACTTACGTGTACGCTCATGTCTACACCGTATGAATTTATTATCTATTCAAAGTTCGAGTAAAATAAAGGTTTAAAATAGGCACTTCAATCTAATCTTGAGGCAGATACGTTTTTTTTTTTAAGTTATATTACTACTGCATGTTTTCCAATCTAGTCAAGATCATCAAATAATTTTTTTTAAATTTTATCATTAAAAAAAATTTCTATTTTCAGGCAGCATGTTTTCTCATAAAACTCAAGAGGAGCCAGCTACCAAGGTAACTATGGTCAGAATTTCCAAGTCGGTCACCCCAAAACACACTGAGCCTTCACACATGTGCCCAAAGTCCAACAGGCAGAGGGGCTAGAGGAAGGGGACTGAAGTCTGACCACACCCTGGGGCAGGTGCTTATCTCTCTTTCTCGCTCACTTCGGCTCTCATTTTCACTCTCATGTGCATGCACACATGCTCTATTATGAATAAAAAAAAAGAATTGGAGGCCAGCAGGTGACAGGGTGGTTAACATTGCTGGATTCCCACATGGCCTACCGCGGGTTTGAGTCCTGGACTTGGTGGCTTGCTTTCTAGCTTTCCCCCCCCCCCTCTCTCTCTCTGTGTGTGTGTGTGTGTCTGTCTGGTCAAATTAAAAAATAATAAGTGGAATTAAATAAATAAATAATTCTTTTAAAAAAGAATTTATAAAGGAATCAAGGGTTTTGTAGAATCTTCATCATTTAACGAACTGAAGTCTACAGCAGAGAGAGATTGAGAACTACCTTAGGCCTTTGAGCAGAAGGATAAAAAGACTGAACCGTCATAGACTGGCTTGGTGGTCCGCAGTAACATATACCCAGGTGAAGCTGGGTCCACATGCAAGATGGTGGTTTTGGTTCCAGAATAACCAGTGTGAGGCAGACAGGCACACCGTGATCCTTGCTGTGGAGAAGGCTGGGGGGAGAGGGGGTTCCAGAGTGATGCCCTGTTGAGAGTGCTTCTCTCCTCATATTGCTCACTCTCATGAAAGAAATTAAGAGTGGGAGGAGAAAGGGGTTTAGTGATAATGGAATAAGGACTTGCAAACCAAGTTATTTGCAGCATTGCTCTTAACAAACACATACCTAATTTAATTCTTCTCACTTTAAATTCATTGGCAAACTTTTCAAGTTCTCGGATTTCAGGAGAATCCATGTCTATTGGCTCTTCAACCAATTTACTTTTCCGCCTGAGTTCCTGCTTAAAATCAGCAGCTGTGGGGTCCTCTGCCAGGAGAGGCTGGTGTATGGGAGGAAATCCATGACTCAGGGTGTGGTCAGGAAATTTATAAAGACATGGGGTTAAACTACCTGTGAGGAAACAGAAAGAAAGGGAAGGGTCATTTGTCATCATCCTTTATGTCTATACCAGCAAGAGTTTTGCCAGGTGTAGCTCATTATTCTGCTAGAGCCAGTCTCAATTCTGAAAAGTTCTTTTTACATTCACCCAGTCTTACAAAGTAGAAGTCAGTGTAGCCTTGAAGAAGTGGGATTATTTATCTTCTGCCTTCTCGGGAGCAGTATAAACAATGGTAATGTTAAAGAAAGAAGCAGGGGATTGCAAAGAATTAACAGAAACAAGCAAAGTTTTCAAAAGCTGCTTAAGTTTTGTTATTGTTGTTGTTTTTGCTTTTAGATATTTGCCATAAAGCAGGTGTGCTTGCTAAAGAGAAAATAGAGCAAAACAATGAGATATTAAGAGGGAAGGTGAGAAATCACCCCCAGGGAGGATAGCCACGCTGTAATTCCTTCTCCTCCATTCTTCCTCAGGGATTTGGATAAGCATGCACATGCATCCCACCTGATTTTCCAAGGTCTGGGGCTCAAACCACAGTCGTTATGGAAGTCCAGCACCTTCACCACCACACAATCTGCTGGCCCCCAAAAAGCTTAAGATTTTTACATTATATTTTTCTCTAAAAAGATGCCTATTCTGGGCCAGCAGGTGGCATGGAGTTTAAGGCACCTATATCACACACGGCCTATTGTGTGGTTGGAGTCTTGGACCAGGGGCTTAAAAAAATAATAATTAAGCTGGGCTCCTGTGCATGCCCAAAAATCCCAAGAGAAGAATGGAGGAAAATGAACTGTGGCATGGTCATCCCCCCCCGGGGTGTGATTTATTTACTTTCTCTCTCTGTTTCTCTCTGGCCAGGCACTCATGTCCTGTAGCAAAACCAAACAAGACAAAAACAAACCGAAAAAAAGGAACGAGAAAAAAAGACACCTGTTTTGAAGAAACTAAGGTTCGACTCTACTCAGAATGTATGCACTGATTTTTTTTCTTAGTTCATAAACAATACTACCTGAGGTTCGTTATAGGTTTGTTATATATAGCCCAGGCATTAAGTGCTCTGGGATAACTGGTATGTCTAAAAGTTTTCTTGTATCTGGAAAACTTGTCTTGCAATATTGAGAAGCCCCACTGTCTTAGCAGTAAATGTTTAATTTCAATAGGAACTAACTGTGTCTTTTTTACAGTTAACGAAGGCGGGTTAAACATATTAGAAGAACATACCATTATTGATACAGTTAAATAGATTTAAAGAGTGACTCGACATTAACAAGAATAATTTAAAAAGTTCTACTAAAATGTCAGCAGCAAGAGTGCTTGAAAAGTACACAATATAATGGGATGACTTATTGACTATTAATTAAGGAGAAGTTAAAGAAGTGCCAACGAAAATAGACATGATAGATGATACAGATGATAGAAGATGACGAAGCTGCATAAATGATGAAGCATTGACCCTATTAAGTGAGTTAAATAGTAAGCCACAAAAAAGACTCTGAAATTAAAAAAAAAAACCTTCCAGATTTTATTATTCACTGGGAAAGAAGTGTCCATCTCAATTTTGAAGGATGGCTCATTAGACAAATTCCAGCATGTTTCATTTCTGTTTTCTTCATCAATATCATAGTTTTTATTGGTGAAGATTTTACTTCAATTGATATTAAATGATATACATAACCAAGACATTTTGATATAAGAATATTGGGCAAGTAATCACTTTTCTGAATATAAATATTTCATAAATTACTATAAAATATGTGCAGTAATCATTCTTGGAAAATATACCAAAAAGCACATTGTATGACCTATAATTTCTTCATAAATATTTTCAGAAATCAAAGACATGAGTAATAATGTATTTTGCTAGACTGTATAAATCTTACATTAATATATCAATATATAATGAGCAAAGAATATTGTAAGTCAGCAAGTTGTTGGCTTATATTATTTAGATGAGAATAGGTCATTATAAAGTGTACCTCTATCCAATAGAATATGTTTTCTTCTGAAGGAAAATAAGCAGAAAATGAGTGATTAGACAAAAATAGCATAAAATAAACAGGTATTTCATGGGTGTAAAAAAGATTTGCAAAGAACTATTTTGGTCTCAGACATTTGTGCTACCTTTATAAACCAAAATTATCTAGTTTTAATTTTTAAAAAGTTAACTATTTATCCTTTCATTTGTGGTATGTTGAATACCAGAAAATATTTTAAAAGTGGAGTCCGCCAGGTAATGTGGTGGTTAAAGCCCTGGGCTCCACATGGTCAATTGTGGTTGGGGTCTGGGACTTGGGAGTTTGAAAATCATCAGGCACATATGTGTATATGCCCAAAATCCCGGGAGGAAAATGGAGGAGAAGGGACTATGGAGTGGCCATCCGCCTTGTTGTGTGTGGGAGAGGTGATTGCTCACTGTCTCTGGCAAGGGCATGTGCCCTATGACAAAAACCCTAAAAATATTGTATCACTTTTTAATTCATTGTGTAAATCCTTTTCAAAAACGTTTATTATTTCTGGGGTTCTTTTTCAGCTCAATGGAAGATGCACATTGGTAGTCGGATGAATTTTTTAAACACTGATTGGGTATGCATATACGGCCACCTTTTAAAATAAAATTTTATTTTAGAATACCTTTAGAGTTCTAGAGAAGTTGGGAAGATAGCACAGAATGTTCTCATAAACCCATTTCCTCTCTTGGTAACTTATTACATTAGCGTGGTGCCATTGTCATAGCTAATAAACCAGTATTGCTGCAGTATACATGCATTATTTACATTTTTTCGGTTTTTTACCTAATGTCATGGAGAAAAAATTTACAAGAAACATCTGTGGGCTGACCAGTGGAAAACAAAAGCAAAAACAGAAACAAAACAAACAAAAGAGCTGGATAGATCATAGGAGGCCCTAATATCTAAGCTGTGACTTCAGAGCTCACACCTGGAAATCATGATGTTTTCCAAAGTTGATTACTTATGTGACCTTGGTCAAGTTACCTTGCCTCTCGAATCACTTAGTACTCTTAATGACAAAGAACTTGTAGAAACAGTAACAACACAGGGGAAAAGAAAAAAAAAAAGAAAAGAAAACAAACAAACAAACAAAAAGCTGTTTGATCTTGCACATTTAATATTTTTCTATTTTTTAACTTTAATTATTATGCTATTATTATTTATACATTCAGTCAATATACATCATTTAGATTTTAAAGAGACTTTACTCAGCGTTATATACACCTCAGTTCAGCCCAGCTGAGGATAAAAAATATGGAATACTTCACGAATTTGCGTGTCATCCTTGTGAGAGCCATGCTAATCTTCTCTATAGCCTTCCAATTTTAGTACATTTGTTGCCTAAGCGAACACACACATTTAATATTTTTAAAGACACTTTATGGACAGCTCCTTTAGCCTGTCAAATTATCATCTTACACAAATTATTTGGTTTGTGTCTTTTAACATAAGCCTGCCATAAGGTCTAAATTTGTTAGCAATCCTGATGACTATTTTCAATATTTCTCACTGATCAAAATCATATACTGCTGTTATACAAATCTTCTATCCAACACTCTGTGCTTATTTTGCATTTGCCATATTCTCTATTCCATATATAAACAAGTGAGTTTAAGAAGATACACATGTTTCCCCCCCACAATTTACAATTTAGCAAATTTAGATAGAAAGAAATTAAATAATTTTCCTCTAGTGCCATGATGCATGAACTATGTAGTTGAAGCTAGAACTAAATTCCAATAAATATTGCAATAAACCACATCAAAATAATCACCTTGGTCATTTTCTAGACCATCTCTATTCAGGTAAGTGAAAAGACTTTCCTTTAAAGATGATTTAGATGATTTCTGCATTTAAACACATTTTGTTACTTCGATCAAATTCTTTCAAACTAAAATAATGTAATTATGTTTTAAAATATAAGCAGTAGTATTCACAGAAAAATTTAAAGGTAGTTTTTTTTATGTTAAAAAAAAAAAACAGAGTGAGAAGGAAACCTCACAGTGTGATACATTTTTACTTTTCATTACATGGAAATATCCACAGTCATCTGCAGGGTCACAGTTTTCCTGGAACTAACCTTGCACAGAGATTTAGCACAGCAGTTATAAGCACAGCCAAGCAAACTGCTCTTTCTGTCATACTATCCTTACCCTGTATTTGGGGAATCGTGGGGAGTGAATGACACAGTATATATGGCAAGGTATTTTTCATATCTTTTTATACACTTTTCAGAGTGTATCATGACTCAAATCTAAGTGACACATGACTCAAATCTTGTCGTAGGAAAGTAGGGAAGTAGTTATAGGCTATTTATTAACAAAGGGATAAGATTTACCAATGCGTAAAAGTGAAAAAAAAATCACAATAGATTTAAAATTTGCTTCAAATACGTATGTGTGAGAAAACGGGAGAATAAATAGAAATATGGGGTCAACGAGTGGAGTGGTGGTTAAGGTGCTGCAGTCCCACAAGGCCTGCAGCCATTACTAGCCCCAGATCTAGTAGCTTAAAAATCATGGGGGGCACGTGTGCGTGCCTGCCCAGAACCCCAGGAGGAGAAGGGTTCATGGCATGGATACCCTCTCTGGTGGGTGATTTCTCGCTTTCCCTGTCACTGCCTCTGTATCTCTCTGGTGAGCGCATGCACCCTATGGCAAAAACCTACAAATAAATAAGTATGTGTTCCTGTGGATGTCTCAGCACCGCGAGGTGTTTTACTGTGTCCCACTGCTTCCACTGCTTGTTCTTCTGAGGCATCAAGCTCATAATCTGAGATGTCAGCTAGCCACACTCTACAGGACAGTGAGTTGCCTCATGACTTTCAGAATTGAGTCAGCACCATTCCAGGCAAAGCATTCACTCCCCACATTGCCTGCTTTGGAAGATTCACCTCTGTTCTTCTACCTCTGGTACACAGAAATCCTCACACAGCAATTCAGAAGGGCTGTGGTAGATTAAACTGCAATGTGGAGACATATTTGGGGGCTGCAGAGTGAGCAGACACTTCCAAGGTACTGATGTATGTGTGAGTCTAGGGCTACAGACAATTTTGATACATATTTTCTTTATTTATATCCTACTCTACAAACTGTTTCTATTTATAAATTTGTTTTATTTTTTAAATGTTTTTGTTACAAACTAAGACACAAACATACACATTCACCTAGGCTTACACGATCAGCATCTTCCATGTCACTGTCTTCCACCTCCACATCTCATCCCACAGGAGAGGCCATGGTAAGCAGAACAACCCAGGCTCAACCTGAGCACAAGAGAAAAGGGTGGTGCTGCTCGCATGAGAGCTATGAGGCAGCTGCCAGCATCACAGGCAAACTGCTCTACAGTAAGCTCATTTCTTTTAAATAAGAGCACACTCTGAAAGTAATAAGTAGTATAGTAAATACACATCAGTAAGTCACTTATTATTATCAAGTATTGTATACTGTACTTTGTTTTTGCTATTGTGCATGCTTACCAGAGAGACAGAGACAGAGGGAAAATGAGAAATCACCTCCCTGGAGGGAGGACCATGCTGCAATCACTTCTCCTTTGGTCTCTGGGGATTTGAGGCATGCACACATGCGCACTCGGTGTGATTTTCAAGCTGCTGAGTCCAGGACTCAAATGCACAGTTGGTCATTTGGGATCCAGCACCTTAACCTCCATGCTACCTGCTGCCCATGCACTGTTCATATCTCTTGTGCTATGCTTTTATACAACTGTCAATACAGGTTTTATTTTTTTTCTTTTTTGCAATAGTATCATCATAAACATGTCAATAATATATTGCACTGTAACATTAAATTCACTAGGTGATAGGAATTTTCCATTATAAATGTATGGGACTACCATCATACCACATACTACCACATACTACCATCATGTGATTTGATACGTCTATTACATGGTATGATTATGGTTGCAACAGACTCTATAGAAAGCTTAAAATATTGACTGCCTGACTTTAGAAAAATATGGCCAACCATTAATCTAGAAGGCAAAACACATCATGTTACTGTTATTGAAAGGCATGACATTTTGTGGGGCAGCCCACAGCCAGGTGATCATGTGAACTGGATGCCACATGGCTGACTACCCAGAGTCTCAGACTCAGTGGCTTGGAAAGCATGTTGGGCACCTGTTCCTGCGTGCCCCAAATCCCCGAAGGAGGGAGACATGGAGGAGAAGGCTGTTCTGTGAGCACTCCCCACTGGGAAGAAGGGCAAGGTAGTGATTTCTGCCTGTTTCTCTTTTCCTCTCCCCCTCTGCCTCTCTCCAGCCAGTGCATGCGAATTTAAAAGAAATAAATGAAAAGAATTTCATGATTCTGAGACCAAGATTTTCAGATTAATCTTTCCCTCAGAGGTAGTACAACCAGAGTGATTCAGGGTAAGATAAAGGAAGAAGGGAGGCAGGAAAAGAAATAAAGAAGAAAATAAAAAGAAAATAAAGAATAAAAAGCTGGGCTCCAAAGCCAACTGCTTCTGTGTTTGCCACACCGATTTTCGATGGCCCTTTCCACCAGCCCAGGTTTGGGAAGGGCATTTTCAGCCACACTAATCTCTCGTGTTACTCACTTACCAGGAAAAAAGTGTGTTCATCCACCAGGCTAGTTCCCCAAATCAGGGCTTTTCTGTTTGTTTTTTCTTTTGCTTCTGCTTTACTTGTAAAATGACTTCTTAAAACAAAGGTTCCCTCAACATTTCTTGGTTTGGCCATTATGTCATGTAGCCAGGTTTAACTTCCATTGCAGTGAGGCCCCGTTTGCTCAGTTGCCACGACACAGTGGAAAGGGTGAACAGCCCATAGAGCTTGTTTGCTAAATTACACCCTGCTTTAGGAATCGGAGAACAGAAACAATCTCAGATAACCAAGATTCAGAGTTTTAAGGCCGTTTTGTTGGTATTTTGTTCTATTCTATGTTTATCTGGAAGAGATTTTGAGTAGCACTGGTCATTTTGTTTCTTGTTATTTGTACTGCAGGCTTTTCAGTTACCTAAATTCTCGAGAAGAAACAGAGGAAGGAATTCAGCTTCAAAGGTATTTGAAGAGAAGACTGGAAGAGAAAGCAGACTGAGTTGGTATAGATTTGTTGCAGCTCAAGCCCAGTGAAGTTGTAGTACCACAGCAATTAGATGTGAAGAGGCTGAAACTCAGAGGTGCTGCCCGATTTGAACGTTAGTCATTAGCAAATATTGTGGCTAATTCTTTGCCTCCGGTTAGTCATAGTCTTCCCTGCATGTGGACTGTTTAGTGGATTCATCTGTGATTAAAAGTCCTCCCCATCAACCTGACAAGAGGTTTGCGATAGCTCTTTCCTTCCTGTGGTCTAGTCATTTAATGAAAAGTTCAAACTAAACGTAAGCATCAGAGGATGGGGAATGAAATAACCATATTAAAATAATTTCCCATCTTTGAAAGATGGTGCTCTCTGTAGCTTCACATTTGCATAGAACACGTGATGTGAAACCCGTCTTTGTTGTTGATACGTGGCTTCTATGGATCGAAGTGGCTGGTTGGATTAATGCCTTGAGACTTCAGAAAATTCAAATGACATACCCAGGTTTGGACTGCACATTTTATTCCTTTTCTCTTATTTCTGAGTTCTATATTTTATAACTCCATTAGTGCAGCTTCTCTGGGGATAAAGGCAGGAGAGTTCAGATTCCCCAATGTTTAATCTACCATAAAGCAAATAGTGAAATTGGATATATGTCAAAATATAGACATTATGACAAATTATAAGGCATATCACATCTTAATGATTTCTCTCTCAAAAATAATCAAATATGATTTCTTTGCTTGTCATGGTGAGCTTTTCTTTCAGCGACAACGTGTGAGTGAGAGAAAGGGAGATGTGGGGTTTCTAGACAGCATCATGCTATGACTGTCCTCCTGCCTCAACCTCCCTGCCATGTCTTTAGGTGCTCATCACCACGCCTGGCTTAGTTTTGGCAGGATCTCCCTATCAAAGGAAATATCATGGGGTGGAGTCCAGGCCAGCCTTAAACTTACAGTCCTCCTGCCTCAGTCTCCCTGTGTCACTGGGATTACAAGTGCTAACCACCACACCTGATTTTTAGGTTAGAGCAGAAGTGGAATAGGGGACGCCCACGTGGTCCCCAGCCTGTGGAGCACAGCATCATAGCAGCATGTGTCATTGCAGCTTGGCCCTCTGTTTAAGACCACAGTGACATATCCTAATCTTGCCATAACTATTTTGCTCTCGTTGTCACTAAGTCAGGCTTTTAATTGTTTTAAAAGGCTTGTTCTGGGCCTTTTCCTGTTTTTTGTTTTGTTTTGCTTTGCTTTGCTTTGTTTTATTTTTGCTTGTTTGTTTGGTATAGGGCACATGTGTTCCCCCAAGGAAGAAAGATAGAGAGACAGAAAGTGAGCAATCACCCCACCAAGGGGGTTGGCCACTCTGCAATCCCTCCTCCTACATTCTCCTCTTGGAATTTTGAACACATGCTCCTGGTGTGTTTTACAAGCTGCCAGGTACAGAACTTGGACCATATAGCTGGCTATGTGGGGTCCGGTCACCTTAACCTCTGTGGTACTTGTTGGCCTTTTCAGGGTGATGAGGAAGAGTTTCATGTAGGAGGGTTTGCTGAGCGCCTGCTCAAGGGAATTTGTACCTGCAAAACCTGAGCTGCCTGTTGATTCTCAATGAGACCATGGATCTGTTGCCTCTATTCCTCAGAGCAGGAAGGTACCGCACTTCCGAGGCCCAGCAAGAATTCCCTAAGCCAGCAGTGCCCCTTCTCGAATTGATGGTGGGAAAGGAGTTGGCAACAAGATTCCTCTTAAGGTATTTGGGAAAGAGATGATTAGCCACTGGACTGTGAGTGTTTGCATCTTTGTGCTAACCTTGAATCATCAGTAGGGACTACCTCTGTACTGGGTTAAGATGGAAACCACAGATGCACCTTGGTTCTTGAGAATTACTGCAAATGAACAAAAGATGTTTCCACTGGAAGAGAGCAACCTATCATTTTCCCTCTACATAATCAAAATGTTATAAGGGCCACAGGAGATATTCCACCTGCACCTCTAGTAACTAAAAGTATATATCTTAACTATTTTATATTGAAAGTAGTTCATCATTCGAAGAGGGCTGTCTTTATTAACTATGAATACTGATGAACAGTATGGATCATAAATGACCAGTTCTCAGAGAAGGAGAAAAATACGACTTTCCCTATTTCTTAATTATTAAAAAGACACATCAGGATCCACAGGTAATCATTGAGAGCATCAGTCTTTGGCCCAGCCACAGTGACACAAGTGGGAGGATCCCTTGAGTAGTGGCTACACACTCATGAAAGACCCAGGTTCAGTTCCCGGCCCAACCTAAACATGCCAGGCATAAGGACGTTTGTCTGTGGTTTTAGCTAGCTGGCATGCTGGGGCAGGAGGATCAGAACATGGCAAGATCCTGTCAAAAATTGCTTTTTGTCTCTGCACCCTTTACTCTCTCATAAAACAAAAACATCCATATTCCTAAGTGTGAGGTTTATTCAGAATGCTGTTTGCTAGAATGTAAGAACAACTATTAATTTTTTGGGAATACTGTTTAAGTTTAAACTTTGAATTATTTATTTAGTATTAAAATGAGAAATTCAAGTCTGGTGCACTAGATTATATATGTTCCATTTTATTTCAAAATTATAGGGATAAATCCATGTTTGCTTCATGACTTATCTGGATAGTAGTGAAACACAAGTCAATTAGAAAAGATTTCTCTGACATCTGATTCTTTTATTCAAAATTTCTCTCTCAGTGTCACACATGCACTTTTATATTCTCCTGCATAGTCTTAATTTATAGTCTGATAAGAGCCTTATTTCTGTTGCATAATAAGTTTACACCATCAAAGAATTTCTTTTATTTTCTTTTGGCAGAGCATACATGTGGTCTCCAGAGAGGGACAGAGTGGGAGAGAGAGAGAGGGAAAAAAAAAAAATAAACCTTGGGGTATGGTCATGCAGCAATTCTTTCTCCTCTGTTTCTCCATTCTTTGGGGGTTTAGAGCATGTACACACGGCCATCCGATGTGTTCTTCAAGATGCCAGGGATGGGACTCGAACTATGATGGTCCATGTGAGATCTGGCTCCCTTAATCACTAAGTTATGGGGCCAGACTAAAAGAATTTATTTAAAATAAAACAAAACATAATGAATCTATATGGAACAAATCTGTGCACTTTATTAAACCATTAAAATCCTTCATCTGGCAGCTACTGCGTCGGCACAGATGGATGGCCCCATCACCCTTGCCCTGTGTTTTCTCTGGCTGTTGAGTCAAATAAAGATTAAATAAGGCTGATTGAAGGCTAAATGTGATGTGTGGAGGATTTATCAATAGATGTTTCAGGCTTTGGCAACCTTTTTCTGAATTTTCTACATATTACGTAGAACCTATTTATTGATACTTAACGAAGGCATTAATAGCACAGTCTTTAATGAGTAAGTTTGTTTGGCTTATGTGATCCACTCATCATAAAATTCATTGCTTAATTTAAGCAATGGTCCATAAATCTTTGCCAATGTGGTAGCACTAGTCAGATGAGACTATTGAACTCTTGATATGTAACTAGTGAAACTGAAGAACCGAATTTTAAATTTTAGTTTAATTTAGGTAATTATTATTTAAATTTAACTAGCCACACAAAGCTGGTAGCTACTTACTATATTATTACAGAAGGCAATAAAGAAGTGACAAACGGCAGTTGGACAGTAGTGAATTAGAATAAAACCAATACAAATAGTAATACAAATCAAACACAAGAATTAAGAAGCACAGACATTCAGAGTTGTGTAAAATAGGTATAATTCCTGTAAAGTAAGTATAACCCTTTTGGTCTTGACAGCTTCCAAGATCAGGAAACATCTCATTAAGTGGTGGTTTTTATCAGACATTTTCTAGCTAAGTGATTAGAATTTCATGTCGAATGCTGGTCATCATTCCTCCAGGCCCAGAACATCTCTCCAAGTACTCTAAATTCAATACCCTGTATAAAGACAACTTTACTTACCTGCCATAACTCCATAGGTTGATGGTTGGTTTCCATAATGACAGGAAGGAACAGAATAATGAAGTCCCGATGCTGTGTTCCCGAACATCGTCACCAAGAAATGTGTGCACAAACATTTAGGAGTTTGGATCAAAGACAAAATAGACGGGACTGGTAAGAAAATGTATGAGGATTCAAGACACATTCATTTTATTTTAAATATATACATTTATGTAATTCTTAAAGTTACATGCATATATATTATTATTATTATTATGTCATTTGGGGGAAGTTTTCTGGCAAGCAGATTTAAACTAGAGATCAAAGTTTGTCTGGTAATGAGATAATACATTTTCATAGCAAAAAATAGCCTTCATTAATTTTTCTGTACTCTGTGCTGAGGCTACAAGTGTTGCATGAAGGGATTACTGACCAGTTTGGACCTTGACTGTTTGGATGTTGCAGAATTCCTATAGTTCCAACCAATACAGAGGTTGCTACAAACTGACTAAAAGAAAGATCTGCTAACATTCTTGTATAGCATAGTATTATACAGTGGTCTTGTTCTGGAAGAATGAATAGAGAAATGAACTCTTGAAGAGAGTCTGTACTTTGCTTATTTTTCTAACAAATTTCTTTCATTCAAGAAGAAATTGCAGAACAACTACCCTGCTGTTGGATACAATTGTAAAATTCCCACTACATTCAAGGCGTTATACAAAATCCATGACAATATGAGATGTATCTATGTTGATGTTGAAACAAGGAGGTTGTAGGTTTTCTGCATAGAAACAATCAATTGAACAATTCTAATGATAAAGTTAGTCAAAAAATAAGTTCATTGATTGTTGAGTGGCTTATACATAAAGCCATATGTATAAACTTAACCTCATTCATAGTGATATGCTTTATAGAATCAATATTTTGAAAGCAAATTTGAATTATTAAGCTTTTATGAAATTTAGACACAAATCACCAAGCTGAATAAGGGCATGGACTACTGTCAATAAAACTATCAGTCAATGTTTTCTTATATATTTTACTTTCTGATTTTTCCTTCACATCCTAAATACAGTGATAGTCTTTGATAAATATAATCATACCTTTCTGAATCAATGAGATATTATAAAGGGTAGGAATAGGATGACTTGAGAAATTTGAGATACCAGATGATTAAAGATGAGGTCTCTATAAAGTAAAATGTATTTTTTTCTAAATATAGAACAATTTTTATTTTTAAAATATCTGCATATATTTTATAAATGGTACTCAGAAGAACTGAACCCATGTTATACATACTCACACATAAAATATTACTATGTACTCCAAAACTGAATAAATGAACATTAAATACCCCAGTGTTGTCACTAAGACTAGTATTTCTAAATCCTTATTTAGGCAATTAAGTGTATACATTTATAATTTTATGGAAAAATTATAAATAAATATTGGTATTGCTTAAAAACATTTAGGTCATTTTAACTGATTGCAAATTTTTTACTACCAAGATTTAAGTAAAATCTTTTTTTTTTTTTTATTTTAGAAGGTCAGATAAAAGATACTACAATATGCATTGTAATTTATTTTCAAATAAATACAAGGATTTTGAGCCTCGAACTAGGTCATTTTATTACATCATTGCTTCAATTCTAAATTTTATTTTCACACTGATCAAATTCTCTTCTAAAGAATATCCCCAACCTATAGAAAGATCTATTAATGAAATTATGTGATTACCTACCCAGTAATTATTTAGATTTATTTATAGCATTTATTTTTGATTAAAACACTATTGCTTTTTTCAAAACCTACATTTGAGGATATTTTAGTATTACGTCTTTAATTAAAATGGGGGACCTTTGATCTAAAATATAGGATCTCTGAAAAACTACATTAAATAATTTTACCCAAAATATCTAATTTGTAGATTCTTTAAAATTCAGCTGAAGATTGATGTATAACTTACATATATATTTAGAAACTGCCTAATTATAACAAAAGATAAAGTTTTAATCTTTTAAGCCATAATGTAATTGTATCAACTAAAGTTTTGGTTTCTAACTATATAGAATTTTATTTCATTTTCAAAAGAAGGCAAACTGCAGTTCAAGCATGAAAATTGAATAGTATATTGCCATTTATTGGAAAAAATTTATTTAATTCAAGATTTTACACATTTATAAATGGCCTTTAAAACACTTTGTTACTGGATAATTAAAGAATGAACACATTAGCGAAATACACCATTCATCAATTGTGTTGAAACACATATGTTGAAACACTATTTTTAATTCTGAAGTTTAATTTTTTTTTAAGAAATTTACATAGGACAAATATTAAAACTTGGCTAAGGGTTGAAGTCTCTTTGAAATTGAATCTTAAAAAACTTTAACTCAGTTCCTAGGCTCTAAAATTTATATTACTTCTAGCTTCAATTTCTGAGTTTTATATTATGCTACAATAACATTTTAAAAAATTGCTTTTCAGATTAAAAATATTCAAGGTTACTATATTCTTATGTAGAAAACCAGGTCTTTGTTATAACACACCTACAGTCATTTAAATAATTATATTTACTAATACCTCTTTTAAATATTCCTAGGCATTTTGACTTTCTTACTATCTTGATATTTAACTTATCACAAATTCAATTGAAAGGGAAAATGAAAAAAGCAAGGAGATCATTAACCAACAAGATTCAAAGCAAGCATTCTGACATCTTTAGGCCCAGCCACCTGTAAACAGCCATAGTATTTGGTACCTGTAGACATCACATTGGTGGCGGGGTTGGAGACCGGTAGACACTCAGCAGCACTGTGATGCATTATCAGAGGGAGCGATGCAGAACCGTCAGAATTCAGAGGTATAAAGGTATCAGCTGAAGTAAAAGATTGGCAACTCATTCCCACAAGAGAGTAGAAAAATAAGAACTGCTTCTCCCAGATCGGTTTTATTATATCACTGTCTCAGGGGCTGATTCGAGTCTGACTTCCTGCATATATACATCAGGAAGGCTCTGAGGCACCAGGAGGGCGCGTGCTAGTATTTATACCACAAAGAAATCCCTTGATACATGTTAATAGTCTTTTCCCAGGGGTATTGCTTTATCAATCTGAACCTTCTTTTCTTACCCAAATATAATCCATGCCCAAGAAGGAAGCTGGTTCTTGGTATAGGTTGAGGAGAAAGGAGAAATCCGAAAGTTTATGTGACAACTTCAGTAATTCAGATCTCTCAGAGAGGAATCAAACACTTCAAAAAATTGCCCTTCAAAGAAATAATGTAAAAACAAGTTGAAAAAGGATTAGTGCCTTTATGCTACTAACACAATCACAAATTTATAAATCGGAGAATAGTTTTCTTTTTTTGATAACTTTTTGTGAATTATGCAGATTAACCTGAGCCAAGAAAAGTACATACTACATAATTTAAGAAACTGATTAAGTTCATATGCAAAGGTGCACAGAAGTCTAAATATGAGAATCCACATACTGGCAAATACTCAACAGTGCACAGTGTTTTGATTTTTGTTTTGCTATAGAACACATGTACCCACTACAGAGAGAGAGAGAGAGAGTGAGAAAGCAACCCCCAGAAGAAATGACCACACCACAATCCCTTCTCCATTCTTCTCTTGGGATTTTGGGCACACGCACATGCCCCGCTTTCCAAGCCACTAAATGTGGGACTCAAACCTCACAGTTGACTATGTGGCACCCAGTCACATTAACGTCCACCCCACCAGCTAGCCCAACAATGCACAGTTTTGGGAAAACTATGAAAAATACTGTCATTTTTACTGTATTACAAATTTAAAAAATGCATTTAATAAAATCTAGTAATGCACAGAGATGAACATAAGTAGCTGTGTCTTTCCCTTGACTTGAGCTTCCTCAAGAACCAACATTTAGTAAGCTGTTTCTAGATGCTCTCAGTTTTTAAGGGACCTCCATCTCACAACACCTCCGTGAGCTCTGCACTCCCTCGTCCTCACTACACTGGGCTGTGCTAGGGGCTGTGACCTTCCACTCTGCTACAGAGCCTGCAGGAACCCTGTTAGCACGGAGCAAACTTTTCACATGGAATATATTGACATTATGTAACATTTAAAACTTTAAAACAATGCCATAGTACAAACAACTGATCCCAAGATAAATATTGGCATGAGATTTTACAAAGATCATGGTTTCTATATACAAATGAGTAAACACAGTATTAGTTATAGATTATATACTAGAGTAATATCAGCAAACAGAAGTAACCAAATATGTATACCAGAAGTATAAAATAGAAAATTTTCTTGCATTTTCAAAGTTAGTAATATAATCCAAATACTTAGGCTTTATTAATCTGATAGGACAATGACATTTTATTGCTTTAATCTGCAGTTTGGATTGCTAATGTGCAATCTTTACTTTTTTTTTTTTTTGCTGTGACTTTTGGTTTATGTATAAATATACATCCTTGTGGCATATAGTATGGTTTTTCAAAATGTGTAATGGGACCAGCAGTTAGTGTAATGGCTATGTCGCTGGACTCCCACGTAGTCGACCGCGGTTGGAGTCCAGGACCCGGTGGCTTAAACTCATGCTGGGCACATGTGCGTGCGTGCCCAAGATCCCAAGAGGAGAATGGAGAAGGGATTGTGGCGTGATCATCCCCACTGGGGGGTGATTTCTCACTTTCTGTCTCTCTGTCTGTCTGTCTGTCAGGGGAGCACACATGCCCTATAGCAAAAACCTCTCCAAAAAAAGAAAAAAAAAGTGTAATCAAATCAAGGATCTAGATATATTCATTTTATTCAACACTGAACATTACATTATGTTGTGCATTTTTGATAGTTCTAAATATACTAAGAATGTTATTTTTATTATTTTTATCACTTTATGATTAATTTTTGTTTTATCACTATGATCACAATATGTATAGACTTTTAATTACATATTTTATGTAAGTATTAAACACATTGATTTTGACAGGGGTCAGCAGATGGCATAATGATTAAGGTGCTAGACTCCCACATGACCAACCATGGTTCAAATCCCATCTGGCAGCTTGAAATTTATGACAGTCATGTTTGCATGTGTGTCCAAGATGATGAGGGGGAATTGAAGTGTGACCATCCCCCTGGGGGGGTGATTTCTCACTTTCTCTCTGTCTGTCTGTCTCTATGGCAAGTACACATGTCCTATACCAAAATCTCTCTTAAAAGAAAAAGAAATCTTGATCTCTTCTTGTGGGCATTTATTAATTATTTTAAATTTGAAACTTTTGTTTTACTCAAGATTTTAAATATAGTTTTAAATTTTTGTTATTTTGAAACACTGAAAATTTTTCTTCACATTTTAACCTGCTATATTCATTGTATTCCTAGAGCTCATTGATACTAATGAAAATTGTGGCATAATTGAAAAACTATCAGATAAATAAGAAAATCTGCTTCAACTAAAGGTAATGAAAAAGAATATAAAGACATCTAGGTAGGCATATTTGCTGGTTAGATTCACTCACTGTGCCTTCCCTTCAAATAAGAAAACATTTTTTAAGATAATTATTTATTTAATTTTATTTATCATTATGATTTTTTTTTTTTTTTTTTTTAGTTTTGCTACAGAGCTTGTGTGCTCACCAGAGAGAAAGACAGCAGTAAAGTGCCAGATCTGGGACTCAAACTGCTGTTGACCGTGTTGGAGTCCAGTTCCTTAACTGCCATTGCCGTCTGCTGGCTCCAAGAACATGATTTTTTTTTTTAAATAAGGATGATGAAAAATTAACTCTATTTTAAGAAAATATATATAGGTCCTGAAAAAACCGTTATTAAGTAATAATATCTAAGGGCTGAACAGCTGCACAATGGTAACATAACATTCTACAAAGTTGATTCGCTTAAGAAGGTTCCAGGTTTGAATCCGGAGACCTCCTTGAACACACTGGGTGAGTAGATGATGAAAGACTAGCTGAGAACAGGGGGTGGATCAAGGCAGGAAGACTGTTGGAAGTTTCTGTCTCCCTTTCTATTGCTTTCTGTCTCTCTCACTCATATAATAAAGAAAGAAAGAAATGTTGAAAAAAGTTAAATAGAAATAGATTGCTCTCTCTCTCAGTCATAGAGTTAACAGCATTTTTATTCTTAATATGTATGTTTTCGAATTTTTCTTCATTTTTATATGAGTTCAGAAGCAGTATAGGATGTTCAGCTTTGAGCCAAACAGTCTGGGCTGAAACCCAAGCTTTGTACCTTCATAGTTATATAATGATGGCAAGTGATTATTCACTTCAGGGTTTCAGGTTATCTGTAAAATGAAGTTAGTGTTACTAATACTCAAGTCACTTAGAACAATGTCAAGTATGTAATATACTTTTGATAAATATTAGCAATTATTAATATGCAAAGCTTTATAGATATAATTGATGGCTTTTAATTAGTCTATATGCTGTATGATCTTGTTTGACCCTCAGGTTACTGTGAGTGAGGCACCATTCTACAGACTGGAAAACTGAGCCACAGACAGGTAAATCGTTACCAGAGGTCATGAGGAATAGGTGGAGCTAGTGTAGGATCTAAGCCATTTAAAGCCTGAGAAAGCCACATAATACTGCCTTTGATCATAATCGGTAGCTATATTGATTTGAGATCATTTCTCGATCTATTTATCTCTATACATAGACTTTTTTTGGCCACATAACTTCCGAGAGAAAACATGGGAAGGAAGCGAATTCTCTAAGAGATGTGATGTGCTCATTTCTCTTAGCATCTGCATCTGCATCTGCATATTACCTTATATATAAATGATATGTTATATAAATGATATGTGTATTATTTCCTGTGGGATAATGGACCAGCACTGCTGAACGATTTTTTATTCCATAATGTGTTCAGTTTATATCAATACTTTTTCCCCACCAACTTGCACTTCACGCCTCTTTGAAATGATTACAAGTTGAGGATATTTTAGATACATATAAAAGAAAAAGAAAGATGATAGGGACTCCCACTGGGATAAGAAAGTGAATATGAATCTAAATTAATTTATTCAGTTAGCTTAAGTGGCAATAAAATGTGGTATTCCCACATCTCATAACTTTCGAAATGATGATGAATTTTACTCAAAATGGTTTTAAAGGAAAAAGATTAGACAGCCTTATGACTTGAAAAGGGACAGTCGCATCAGAAGCAAAGATTATTTAAAGCACATGTCAAGAATTGCATGCCATGTTTGGCTCTTTACAGATTGTGAAAGCAGCCATGAATGTACATATTATGCACTTCATTCCTACTTAAATTCTCATATCAGAAATCCAGGGGCTTTATTGCCCAAGGAGGAGATAATGTCAATAGCTTACAACCTTGCTGAAGATAAATGCACTCTTAATGCTGTCTAAAGGGTAAGCTTGTAACTTATGGAAAATAAACGTCAAGGTGAGACATCGACTTCGAGTGATGCTCGCCCATGAGAGCCATATCCCTGTTGCACTATAGCTCATGTGTAGATTTATCGTTTGTTTCACTCACTTAAATAGACCCAGTCTTGTTCAAACAATACACTGCTGTGCCTGACTTAATTTAGTTGGAAAACCTCTTGGCTCTGAGTTTCATTACATAGCATAATAGATGATACATAGAGGTACATTTTAGAGTGTATAAATCCTTCACTAGAGCGAGCGATTTACTATTGTGCTTGAATAAGAAGTAAGATTTTCATTCCTTAAACTCATAATGTAAAGGAAAAAGAACGATTAGTTCCCTAGTAGTCTTACTGGGTGACACAAGGCTATCATATGCTGCAACACAGCAAATTAATTGATATTGTGCCGAGTGAGTCTCCTTTATTCATTCAGGCATCTCTGAAGATGAAAGAAGCAGAGTGTTTTCTTAGTTACTGTGATGAGATTATTTAATTAT